AAAATAATACAAAACGTAAAAAAATAATAAAAAAGTAAACAAATGTGAAAAAATTATACTTAATAAAAAATGCCAACATTTTTTGGAAATATGACAACATTTTTTAATAAAAGTAAACGTAGTATATATATATATATTAATTTTAAAAAAATTTAAAAAAAAACTTAATAAAAATGCCACCTCTGCCACCCCCAACACCACCACCTCCCATCACTAGTTGGAAATATGACAACATTTTTTGTAATGCCATAATAATGACATATTCAATGAGAATTTTAACATTATGATGAGTAATAATGCCATTTTATTGGCATTTAAAAAAATGGCATTTTTTTTTTACAAAAAATGGCAGAATTTTCATCGATCGGAGGTGGTGGTGCTGGGAGGCGGTGGAAAGGGTATCCATATTTTTTCTAGGTTTTTACTACTTTTTTATTAATTTTTAAAAAATTAAAAAAATATTTTTCATTTCTTATTATATAAATATTTTATTATTATTTTTTATCTTTTATCAATTTTTTAATATTTTTTACGATTTTTGAAAAATGTGTGGTTCAAGTTTGTGCAAATGAGAGAGAAATGAACGAACAAAGCCATAAATTCATTGTTTTTAAACAAAGTGGTAAAGTTTTTGGGTCAAATAAAAAAGAAAAGTGGGCAAAATAATCCAGTCGGACAAAAGGAGTATTATATATATATATATATATATATATATATATATATATATATATATATATATATAGAGAGAGAGAGAGAGAGAGGAATGTTCAGGTCCGAACATTCCCCGTCCGAACACCGTCTGAACATCCCCATTTGGAGTCCTTCCCGATGGAATTTTTTGATGAAATTTTTTGAGCATGTTCCTCATCAAGTCTAGTTTGTCCATACCAAATTTCAGCTCAAAATTCGATCGGGAAGGCATTCAAATCATTTTTTAAAGTTGACTGCGTCAAAATATACATATAAAAACGCAGTCAACTTCAAAAAATGATTTGAATGCCTTCCCGATCGAATTTTGAGCTGACATTTGGTATGGACAAACTTGACTTGATGAGGAACATGCTCAGAAAATTTCATCAAAAAATTCTACCGGGAAGGGCCCCAAACCGGGGATGTTCGGACGGAGGATCCTGTCCGAACGTTCGGACAGGATCATTCTTGTATATATATATCCATAAATGTTTCAACAATGCAACAAAATGTGTTGCATTTTCACCAAGAAACAAAGTAGAGCATTCAAAATTTGGAAACTCAAGTTAGCCAAATTTCAAATGTTGTGAGCCGCCTTGAGGTAAAAGACTCTGGTAAACTTCTTCCCAAACGGAACAAAATCCAAGACAGCATCTCAATGCGATCATGTTAAAGAAAACACTCGTCTACTCCTTTTATTTGTCGACAGCCCGATAAGTATCCCCTTTTAAGGCTCCGAAACAAACATATGTTTGCCGAAACACTTTAGGACATTCTTCAATCAACCTCTTGGTTTTAATTTTAGAATAATGGTGCTCCTTGGATTAGACCTCAAGCATTTAGCAGCATAGTTCCTAACTCTTCTGAATTGGTCTCTAAATGATGCATTCACTTTTCCTCAGTACCTTGGCAATGAATTGGTCTCAGTAATATTGATACTTATTTTCAACTCATTCCAAATATTATTTTGGAGCTCTACTTGTTTTATGCATGAATTTTATCAGATTTTGTCCTCTTACTTATCTTCAAGCAATGTATGACTTATTACCACCTTCAACTTGAACTTTTGCTTGCATTTGTGTTAACCTATCCATGTCTTTAATTGAGAACATTTGTACTGACTCGACCATGAGGTAGTGCATTTGAATGGACAATTCGCACAACATGCTACTTGAATTCTATTAGGCACGCTCCTCATTCATCTAAGGCCCCTCTTATAATGAACTGTGTAGGTTATCAAAACAGAGTTGAACTCTGATCCTTTGCATCGTCCATCAACATTCCCAACTGACGTTTTTTTGGATTCCAAACTTGGATTGTATGAAAGATGTTTCAAATTCTTCACTTTAGAATCCACCAGATTGTCCTCTTCTTTTTTCAGAATCAGAGTACAAACTAGGAGATTTTCATAATCATAATAGTGGTTGTGTTTACTCTCATTATCCATCTCGGACTCCAACATGTTCCCAACGATGTTCCTATTAACCTATTGTTTTTTAACCTCCTGTAATTTGCCATCATTCTCATTATTCATCTCTTCTGCATCCTCTATTGAAGTTTGATCATCATCAGATGACAAATCTTCTTCATGTGTTACATCTTTACATTTGACGCTGCCTCGATCATTCTCGTCTTCTCCCTTTTTCTCACTCTATTGTTGTGCCTTGTTCTCTACTTCTGCATCAATTTCAACCCTCATTGTTGAATCATCTCCACCCACATCTTGAGTTGAAGGCAACTTTAACTGCTCAACAAATTCAACCTCATAAATTCCATGCTCCACAAATTCAGCCTCATAAATTCCATGCTCCACAAATTCAGCCTCATCTTCAACCAGAACTACACTGTGGTTAAAGGTCATCTCAATCAGTTGGAGAGCAGTAGCATCATTCCATAACGGTCTTAACATATCTAAGCTATCATCATGTTACTTGAATGATATGATAATGATTCTACTTTTTTGTACATATTTTCGGTTATATACTCCATCAAGTATGTATATGAAACTTATCCGAGTTTAAAATAGCACTCTCAATCTCACCATTTACATATGTAATATTTGGCATTCTCCTGAAAGTAACGCCATGGTGTATTTTCATTTCCCCATCAAAAAACATTCTGAAAAAAGGAAATACATATTATATAGCGGACTATTTCATATTCAAATCGATCACCAATACATATACCAAACAACAAAAGATTTCCAAATGTACAAAGAAACTACAAAACTTCCACACACTTAACTCGCCTCAAACATATATATATGTACTGAAAGAAACATGAGCAAATGATTAAATTGAATACAATAAATTAACTTACTTGCAAGAATTGTATTCGAAGCAGCAAGTCTCAGTCCAACAAGTGAAATGATAGAAACAGTTGTTGTCGTCCCCAGAACGACCGCTATTACGCGATCAGTACATGCAGCTCAGACCAACCAACGAAACGACCGAATTAAGCAGCTGTTGTCGTCCCTAAAAAGATTACTATTTCGCAGTCAATAGATGCAAATGTTTTCGCCCCAATTGGGAATTTCAACTCTGAGCAGATGGACAATACCCTATTCCAAATAGACGAAGATCCATTTTTTTTACTACAATGTTTAATTCAGAAAACTAATAATCCATGTGGCGGCTGACGTGGAAAAAAGCCAAGTGTGGCAAAACACGGGCCCACATAAGCGGTAATCGGGACTAGGAGGTGATTAGCAGGTCATTTGAACTGATGTTTTTTCAAAGTATAAGTATTTTTGTGAATAGATGACTTAATGATGTAACGGTTTTAGTATAGTACAAGCCCGTTATTTCACCCTTTTCCAGAGTATAAAATGTGACGTTTTTTCGATCCACAACCTTCATTTTAGTCATATACATCATCCGTTGTTTTTTAGTTGCAATGGTCCAATTTTGATGTTTTCCAACACACAAGTTTGAACATTAATATATTTCATCCTTATTAGTAAAAGAATTAAAAATGAGAGAAATTAAATAATAATTTTGAAATTGTTAATTTATATGCATTAATAAATAAAATATAGTCAAAATTGAGTATGTGAATAGTGTAAAATTCACCAATATTACAACTAAAAAAAGAACGGAGACAGTACTCTGTATTCACAATATATAATTGCTCCTACTTAGTAAATAAAATTATTGTGTTCCCTAAAATTAATAGAGAACAATATTCCTTTTGCTATCATATTATAATACTCCCTCCGTCCCAATTTGTTTTGCAAAATCAACATTTTTTGGTCAACCAATAATAAAAGTCAACCTTCTTTATGCATAATTAATTCAATTTTTAATAAATAAAATTTACATATTCATAAACTACATCAAAATCTCTTCAAGGTTGTAAACTCCAAATCAGAATATAATTAAAAAGTGGCATCCTAATTAAGTAAACAAAACACAACTGTTTGACCAAGAAAAGTCAAATTTGCAAATCAATTCGGGACGGAGGTAGTAATAGATTTGGATGGAATACGCCAAATTTATACCAAAAACATTTTGACACGAGGTATTTGGTATGAAATTATTAATCAATTCTACTAAACTCATGTCAATCCTATAATTCTTTTTAGGTTTAAATATGTTTTTAGTCCCTGCAAATATAGCACACTTTGTTTTTGGTCCCTGCAAAATATTTTCTTTTTTTTTTCAATTCATCCCCGAAATTTATGTTGCTTTTCTTTTTAGTCCTTGACTAATGATAACAATCTTCATTTGACAACGAAACAATCCCGACCAATATGTATCCTTTAATTCTTTACCATGTCATTCAAAAGTATTTAATTTCATTTTGTAAACGGTTTTTAATACATCTTTTTAAAATGCGAATAGTCAGTTTTAATATTATTTTAACTCTCATATTAGCCACAAAAAAAACTACAAAATGATAAACTTTAATGTTTGTAGTAGATTTATGCAACCGACAATAAAAATTCTAAGTATAGTTGTTTAATTTCAGTGTTAGAGATGGACTAAAATCAAAATAATGCATATTACAGGGATGAAAAATAAAAAAAAAATTTGTAGGGAGTTAAAATAAAGCGTGTGATATTTACAGGGACTAAAACCATATCTAAACCTTCTTTTTACCGTGGTTTGAAATTCTAAAATGTTTAGATAATTTTCTTTTGCAGCCATGCACGAATGCAAAAGTTTTATATACAATTCGTATTTGAGAGTGCTCCAAACGAATAGCTGAAAATAGAGGAGGAGAATGGCGTTGAAAAGGTCAACGGATTCTGTGTCTTATTATAAGCCAAATTTAGCGGTCTCCGACCTCTCCTTTCCCTTGTCATTTCTTCCGGTTTATCTCCACATTTCTTTCTTTTTTGTCCCATAATTATTGTACTCATTGCGCCCCTAAACTGTCTCTCCCCCTCACGCACGCGGCCTCACCTTGGTGGCGCATGGTAGTGGCCGCCGCCGCCGTGTTTCCACCTCCTCCTCGGCTGCCGCCTGTAACAACCCTAATTAAATAGTTTAATTTATTTCTATCCCATTGTTAATTGTATACAATAAAAGTTCCAAGGTAGGTATGAGAATACCATGGAAATTAGCCTTCTTCTCTTACCTGACCGCCGTTTCTTTCTTTTCTCACCCATGCAAAGCACAAGATTATGACGATGAGAAGCCCACGACACCGCCTCCCGAGCAGCAACGCTGCAACGGGATATACGTGAGTTACAACTTCCTAGGCCGCGAAAAGATATATCCATTGGTGACGAACACGTCGGCTCAGGCGTGGGCGTTCAAGGCAACCCTGACGGTCTTGAACGCCGGCGCCTACGAGCTGAAATCGTGGAAGGCTTTCGTGGGGTTCCAGTACAACGAGCTGTTGGTTTCCGTCGACGGGGCGGTTGTTGTGGCGGACGGAGACGGCAGTTTCCCTATCCAGGTGGGCAAGAATGGCACGGTGTTCTCCGGGTATCCGGTGTCCGACTTGAAGACGGCAATCGACACCGCCGGAGATCTGCCGCAGATGCAGTCGCAGGTGAATATAAAGGGTACGCAGTTTGGGTTGAGGGAGAAGGCGACGCCTTTGCCGAAGAACATCAAGCTCTTAAATGAAGGATATAAGTGCCCTTCTCCTAAACATTATTGTATGTTCAATTCACTCTATATAAATACCTATCTCTTTTACTCCGTATTAGGGAATACTTCCTCCGTTCTTTTTTAGTTGCAACAGTCAACCTTTGCACATTTGCCAACACACACATTTGACCGTAAGTATATTTTAATCTCTATTAATAAAAAATATTAAAAATCAGATTTTCAAAATTTGTAATGAGATGAATTGAAAATATATATTTTTAAAAATAATTTTCATAAAATAATAGTGTAAAATGTAGTCAAAGTAGATCATATGAACAGTGTAAAAAGTCAACACGTTGCGATTAAAAAGAGACGGAGGATAGTATATTTTTATAGAATATGAGTATATCCGATAATGAAAGTTCAAATTGTTCCATGAAGAAAATGATAGATGAAGTTCTTGACCAAACATTATCTTTTTTATTGATTAGACCTAAAAGATACGTAGTAAAAGGTTTACAAAATTGTTTTGGTTAGTTAAAGTGTTTTCTTGAATCTCCAACATTATTAAAGATGTTCTTTTTTCAAAAGATCATCTTGTCGTTTGGTTAAAAGGTCATATATATAGTATTATTATAAAAAAGGGAAAATGGAAACTAATAATCCAACCTTTTAGCGGTCTTCTTACAATAGTCCCACCTTTTGATTATTCATGAATAATCCAACCTTTGCACCTCATCTTCATTCACTGGTCCCTGACCGGTTGATGACCTACTATTCCAAGTTATTTTCTTATCTTTGCAAACCATTATACCATAAATATCACCTTTCACAAAAATAATATTTTGCAAAGATAAGAAAATAACTTGGAATAACAGGTCATCAACCGGTCAGAGACCAGTGAATGAAGATGAGGTGCAAAGGTTGGATTATTTATGAATAATCAAAAGGTGGGACTATTGTAGGAAGATCACTAAAAGGTTGGATTATTAGTTTCCATTTTCCCTATAAAAATGACTTTTTTAAGCAATGATATATCTCAACCACTAGATTAAACGATTTTGTGTAAATATAATACTTTTGAAATATCATAGATTCAGTCTTTTTATGACACATAGAAAACCAATTAATCATGCATTTGAATATTTTACACTCCGTATGATTGAATGAAACAAATATTTCACACAAAAGTAGATGTGCGTAGGTGTATATGTGATCACTTGTACTCCGTATTATTTAAAACTGAAATTGATTTTCAGTTTTATAATTGATTCTTTTTTATAAAATTTCAAATTTAGTTTTTAGCCTTTGAAATTAATGGGCAAACATGATGAACTTGGTGGCACACCTAGCTTTAAGACAAGATCATTACACTTAAAGTAACCTTATAAGACAATTCGGATAGGAAATTAAATGTGTATGGGTTTGCATGGACAGATCCAGGAATCTGGGATACCCTGGGCTGAAGAGCAATTATATTAGGTTTAAACTATACCGGAGTGGGCTAAATATGAAATACGGAAAAACTTTATAGTAAAAACTTGAAAAAATAAATAAATTGACAAACACTTTTTAAAATTATTGGAAACACGTTTTAAAGTTGTTGCACACTTTTGATTAGGGTATATATATATATATATGTACATTGGCGGTGTTTATCATTATTATTATTGTTGTAAATTATTGATTGAGAAAAGTGTAATTTGGACGCAGCAAACCATATGAGCATGTGTTGCACGAGGGATCCAAAGTACAAAAACAAGAAGCTGAAGACGAAGTTCTTGCCCCGACAGAAGGGGGACCTCAGCTTTACGTACGACGTTCTGTCGGCGTACGAGAACAAGTACCTGGCCCAAGTCACAATTGAGAATAACAACCCATTGGGCCGCTTGGACCACTGGAACTTGACTTGGGAGTGGATGCGGAACGAGTTCATTAACACCATGCGAGGCGCCTTCCCACACGTCAAGGACCCATCCGAATGCATCTACGGCCCACAGGGCCAGTACTACATGGACATGGACTTCAGCACCGTACTCAACTGCCAGCCCAGGCCCGTCATCTCCGACCTGCCCCCTTCCTTCGCCCAAGACGAAAAGCTCGGGAAGCTGCCCGATTGCTGCCGGAACGGCACCTTGCTGCCCAAGACCATGAACCAGACCAAGTCCAAATCCGTCTTCCAGCTTGAGGTGTTCAAGATGCCGCCCGATTTGAACCGGACCGCCCTTAACCCGCCCCAAAACTGGAACATCGTGGGCCAACTCAATCCCACTTACAAATGTGGGGCCCCCATTCGGGTCGACCCGAGTGAGTTCCCCGACCCGATGGGGACCGCCATGACCACTACAGCCGTCGCGACCTGGCAGGTCTCGTGCAACATCACGCGACCCAAGGCAAAGCACGCCAAGTGCTGCGTCTCATTCTCAGCCTACTACACGGACTCCGTGGTCCCGTGCAACACTTGCGCGTGCGGGTGTTCGGAGGAGAAGACGAGGCGGTGCAATCCTGATGCACCGCCTCTGCCGCTCCCCGCTGAGGCTCTGCTCGTGCCCTTCGCGAACCGTACTCAGAAGGCGTTGGCCTGGGCCGACATCAAGCACCACAAGGTTCCCAAGAAGCTCCCGTGCCCGGATAACTGCGGAGTCAGCATCAACTGGCACGTGGACTCGGATTACCGAACGGGGTGGACCGCCCGGATGACGCTGTTCAATTGGGGGGACGAGCCGTTCGCGGACTGGTTCACGGCCGTGCAGCTCAGAAAGACCGGGCGGGGGTTCGAAAATGTGTACTCCTTCAACGGGACGAGGTACCCCAGCCTGAACAACACCATCTTCATGCAGGGGCTGCCGGGGCTGAATTACCTGGTGGGAGAAGTGAACGGAACTCACCCGGCGACGGACCCGAGGGTGCCCGGAAAACAACAGACGGTGATCTCGTTCTTGAAGAAGGGCCTCAAAAACATCAACATTAAGAAAGGAGACGGGTTCCCCAGCAAGGTCATCTTCAACGGTGAAGAGTGTGCCCTGCCCACCCACATTCCCAAGAGATCCAGTGCGGCGGCCCGGCCCGGCATCTTCACACCCCTTTTTCTCGCTTTCTTGACTTCATTATTTGTTGCTCTTGTTTGCTGACCGGTTACACTCATGATGAAATATATGTTAATTAATTTTCTGAACTTTTTTTCCTTCCTTATTTCCTTCAGTAATCCATCGATCATATGCTAGCTTAGAGCATCTCCAATGGTAAAATGTGCACGGTGCATACGTGGCATGAGAAATAGCCACATAAATATTAATAAATAAATTCTTTCTCTCCTTATTTGAATGATTTTATACAGTTTTGGTAAGTTTTTCTCTACAATGTCAAGGAGACCGTCTAGATGTTGACATTGTTGTTGACATTGCAGGGAAAAACTTACCAAAATTGTATAAAATCATTCAAATAAGGAGAGATATAATTTATTTGCTAATATTTATATGGTCATCACTCATGCCACATGTGCATCGTGCACATTATAGCATTGGAGATGCTCTTAGGTTCTTGTTTATATTTTCCAAAAGTCGAATTGGTTGAGAAGGAATATAAAAAGTATATACTCCATATATTAGTTGCACTTGAGTGAAGAAATATTGATTATTGACAAGCCCTACTCAATTTAGATACACAAAATTCCTTAAATAGAAGTAAAAGTATAATAGATCTTTCAAATGAGAGTGTCATTATTTTTGTATTAACAATCAGATTTTGGAAAGTTTTTATGATTTTATTCTTTTAATAGGAGTAAACAGGTGATAATATTTATAAAAAGAAAACATATTTATTTTTATTTGGAGTTTTTTCATCTTTTAATCCTATTTTGAGCAGTTTCTTTTTATAACTTACACCTATGATTGAAAAAACAAAAACATGTAATGCCGGTCCATTATCAATAAAATAAATTATTGAAAAAAATCCTTAAGTGGGACTAAAACATAAACAATTTGTTTTGAACAATTTTATAAGTAGGATTAAAATATAGACAAAGTGCACAAATAGAATCATTATTTTTTTTTCTAGAATGACTCACTGTGTATATTTACTCCTAAATAAGGAAGTTTTATATTTCAGTCATATTTGAAGTAAGTTTTTAAATTAATTTCCAGTCTGTATCTAGATTTAATTTGATCGATCTTGTAAATAATAAATCTATTGTTATTAAGGGCTTTCAAACCGAAAAGTATACTTTCCAATAAAAACATGCGGCAAAAGATGATGCGGTTCTCTAATTTTCTTGCAAAAGTTCTTATTAGCTATAGAATAGCAAATGATGTTACAGAGCTAAAAAAGAGCACAATCAAAAGTGTTAAATCTACAATTTTCTAAGTAATGTAATGTCAGATTGTTTTTAATTGGACCAATTTTTTTTAGTCTTGTTTGTAATATCAAAATTGTTTAAATATGATTTGGTCTGAATTGATCTGATCTTGTATGGTAGATGTATGTTTCATATGGATTTTGTTATTTTGAATGAGTTTAGCTAAAAACAATATTATCTACTCTCGTATGGAATGAGTTTAGCTAAAAACAATATTAATATATATGGTCTAATTAAATCTTACCAAGCCGATAAGATTCCCTAGGGCTCTAGGGTTCGGCATCTCCGACGCTGTTCATCGGCTTTGGTGAAGCTTTCATTATCTTTGTTTCTCGTTAACATGGCAACTGATATTAACGAACTGTATGCTCGGCTGTGACTGGAAGATGAAGACGATGCAGGTGAGGTGGACATCGACGGCGTTATAGCGGATGAAACTCCCTCTGCAGCGCCGCTATGTATGGTGGGTCGGCTTTTCACAGATAAGCCGGTTAAATTTCCCTTCTTCCGCGACACTATGGTGGACGTATGGAGACCTAGCAAGGGTGTCTATATCCGGGAACTTGATGATCGTAAGTTTCTCTTTCAATTCTATGACCAGGTTGATTTCGAGCGTGTTTGGGTCGATGGTCCGTGGTGTTTTGAGAACTCTCTTCTAATATTGCATAAGCTTGACACTAATGAGAATCCGAAATTGGCTGAGTTGAATAAAGTCTGTTTTTGGGTCCGTGCTTATGATTTACCTTATGAAATGTTTACGGAGAATATTTGCAAGATCATAGGGGACCAAGTAGGCTTGTTTGACTCGGCTGACCCAAGTAATTTCACTGGTGGTTGGAAATAATTTTTGCGCTTTTGGGTTATACTGGATGTGAACAGCCCTCTAAAAAGAAAGGTCACGTTGAAGCGTGGCGGTGCACCTGTTCGGGTAAACATCAAGTACGAACGATTGCCGCACTATTGCTTTATATGTGGGATGATGAATCACGTGGACCGAATGTGTGTTTGGAGGTTTCAATTCGCCGAAAGCGGCAGAGAGAAACTATTCGGTTCTTGGTTGAGGGCCGGTACGAGCAGGGGATCTATGAACAAGGGTAGCAAATGGTTAGTTAATGGTGAAGGCAAATTTGTGCATGGGGAACCTTCTTTGGTTTCAGTCAGAATGAGGGGGAATTTCGAAGTGGATCCGGAAGTCGAGGTGACTCAACAGTCGGAGGGAATATTAACAAAGAAGAGAAAGGCTTTGACAGCAGGGTCTACGAAGATGCATTCACATGAACAGGATATGGATATCTATATTTCAAAAAACGAGCTAGCAGCGGGTTCTGGTTCCCAGGCCCGCCGGGAGCAATGAGTTGCCTAAGCTGGAACTGGCGGGGGCTTGGCAACCCGGCGGCAGTTCAAGCTCTCGTGGATGTGGTCCACTTAAAGCGGCCATCTGTAGTTTTTCTTATGGAAACTTTTTCGAATTCTAATAAAATTGATTGGGTTATGCGCAAAATTGACTTGGACCATTCCTTTGCGGTAGCTAGCGTCGGTCATAGTGGTGGCTTAGCTATGATCTGAGGACAGGGGTGCGGATCCACATTGAAGGGTCCTCAAATCACTACACTGACACGAGCATTCAACTTGAGGAGGGAGCTCCTAGTTGGCGGTTTACGGGCTTCTATGGTTGCCCGGATCGTCCAAGGAGGAAGGAGTCCTGGAATATCCTCAAATCTTTGAGTCAGGGTACTGATAGACCGTGGCTTGTTATGGGAGATTTCAATGATTTGATGTTCGCTTCGGAAAAGAGAGGTCGGGTGGATCATCCGTCGTGGTTGCTCCGAGGATTCCGGGAAACAGTGTGGGCTAGCGGTTTGAGGAATTTCTCTTTCACGGGGTATCAATTTACCTGGGAACGCTGGAGAGGAACACAAAATGTTGGAAATTTTGAGAGTATTTCAAATGAATAGTACTTAATTAATCAATTTATAAATTAGACATTTTCCTATATTCTATTATTAAAATTGTTACTTAATAAATGTTCTTTGTCTTCTTCCAAATAATAACGGATGACTAGTAAAGTGTAATCCTCCATGCAGTAAAGGTTTCATGATCATAATAATAAGTTGCCACGAACATTCATTTTATTCTATGTAAATGTTTAACTCTTGAACATTAAGCTTTTAAAGTAATAATAATGATGGCTCAACGTTAATTTTATTTAATGTAAAAACGTTAGCCAAACTTTATGTCAGAATATGGGAAGCTCGGCACTAGTGCGTATATACGGAGTATATATACATGTGTGGTGCTCGAATTACACAGCAGTATTAATCAAAAGGCTTCTCGTATTTGTTCTGAAGAATATATATTACTCTTCATATTTAGTAGCTAGCATGTTTGGAGAAGATAATTTTGAGTTAAACATCCTCTAATATATTACAACTCTGCTGGATTAATTTTATATTACTCTCGTTGTTCTGTTACCGGCTTACGCCGAAGAGCTCGTTTTATCTTGGGGAAAGGTTTTCGCTAGTCGGAAATACTTTCTTGAGGACAGCGTTTACGCGACTCGAGCTATTTTTATTTTTCTAACGCTTTTTGCAGGTTTATCCGGCTAATTTTTTCCAACAATCTCAAGAAAGTATTTGGCGTCGGATATGTCTGCACACATGATCTCGGAAGCTAAGGCTGTGGATACGCCCGCATGGGAAGCCATTTTCAATCGGATACACGCTCACAAAAGTCTTCTACGTATAATGGTTAGTCTCTACACTCTCCTACTTACAATAAGTCATACTTCAAACTCCAATTTTTTTAAGAAAAATGTTAATCGTTTATTTAGTGATAAAATGAAAACTATGAAAAACAACAACCCACTAAAATCAAGTTTAAACTTGGTTTGTAGTGATGATAATTTTATTGCGGTTGTTTCTCAGAGTTGTAAAACTAAATGATGTGATTCATGTGCCCGAGATCGGATTAATTTAATGTCCGTTTCTCTTTTGGAAAAGTTGGAGTTAAAGTTTCTTTTGGTTGTGACAAATTTGTTATGACCAAAATTGATGTTTTTGTGGGAAATGACTATTGTAAGAATGGACTTTTTGTGCTTAGTAATTTTGAAGTGTTGCATGACAATGCTTCTACGTACTTACGGTTGGTAAAGTATTGTGTTATGTGATATAATAAATTTGGCGTTTTGCATGACAATTGTTTTTTCTGTAGGCCTTTATTGTAGTTTGATTTATGAAACTTCTAAATAACTTAATATTGATGTTTAGTGATCTGAGAGCACCTCTAGAAATCGTGATATATTTGATGAATTTATATAAATTTTATTAGAGCATCTACACTGTGACTAGAGGTGGTAAAAGTGCTTTGTCACATTTATTGGTGATTTTCGAGATAAACTAAATTTTATCTTATTTAAATTTAAAAGGCGAGTTTTTATTTGATAAACTCGTTGTGTACAAATAAAGGTTGATATATAAATTATCTCTCTATGAATTATGAATTTAAATATCTAAAATTGTGGGGGTGCTTGGCTAAATTTTTATTACCTGTCCCATTGAGTGAAAATGAGCTTTATAACTTTTGGCTACCTTTGCATAAATTGAAATAGTGGAGCACATATGTGATTTCATAAATTGAAGAAATAGTGTGTTAATGGGCAATACTTTAAACTATGTCATTCCTGCTATTAATGTGATCGTTTTTGGAGAATGTGTACACACTAAATGATGCATGTGTGATTATTTGTTTATACGTTGTTGAAACAAAAAATGCTTATTTTTCAAAAAATGTGT